ATGCCTGTATTTTGGGGTTTTGTCTTCAGTTATTTATTCCTCAGCAGGACAGACGTGAGTAGTCAGAGGTTCAGTCCATATTCTACAGCTCCTGTGGATCAATGCCTGTCGATTTGGCACCTATTCATGGTTCTAGTGAAGTGGTGGTACCACAGCTTTGTCCCTGTGCGCTCAGTCTCTGTAAGCCGATTCCCTCATGCAAGGAACAGGATTTACCTCTTCATCTCAGGCTTAGCACCTTTAGGCTGCAGTTAATTATATTGCCTGCTATTGTCTGTGGTAGACTGACCTATAGTAGCGTGACAGAGATCACAGCACTTTTTCACATGTATTTGCTCAGCTAGAAAATCTAACCAGGAGTTTCCTGAGCACCTGCTGCAATATAACCTGGTATTCTGGAGCCTAGAAATGCCTGTGAACTCCTCAGATCCCTGCTTCCCACTGATGAAGTATTGTTTGGAGATCCATCTGGTGTCAAGTGTAGGCATGTGGCACCAGTATGGCAACACTGCCTACGGGGGTGGTTTCCTGCACAAGAGATCTCACTGAGTGCAGTAGTCATTGCCTACTTAAAATCATTACTGCTTAGCACCCAGGTCTTTGTGAACTTGTTCAGCTGGTGGCTGGGCAGAGTGCCATCCAGATCTACGGGCAGGAGCGCAGGCAGCTGAGTCTCTGGGGCCGTACGCACATCAGATGTGGGTACTGAGGCAGGCTTTGCAGTAAGGAAAATCTAAATGGCTGTCTGTCCTCAGCATGTGTATCTGTGGTTAAAGGGATATGCCATCATTAATCCAAATCTGGGCTGGATTAAGCTTCTAAAATAAAAAACAGCTCTGCCAGCCACTTGAAGAGAGTTTGGGGCCTGTTTGAATCGAGTGCATCAGTGCAGAGGGAGGAGGCAAAGGCAGTTGAATGAAGTCCCCACCACTCTTGTCCCTGTAGCAGTTTATGTACAGGGTAAAACAAGCTGACAACTATCAAAATAGGTTGCCAGGGTGTGGTGCCTTTTTGCCTTGGCTTGCAGGCCTCTAAAGGGGAGGGCAGCACCTGTTTTTCTGAGACCAGTCCTCTCTGTGCTATGAGAATAGCACAGCCATTTTGTGTTTTAGCTAGGAGCAGAAGTTTTGGCATGTGGGGAGCACGAGCACCAATTTGCCAGGCAAAAATCTCAGGTTTACGAGCCTGGGCTGACTCTGCCATTCGCCTGGGCTGTACTCTGACCCGGAGCCAATTTGGCCTTGCTCATCTGGTCACTGGAGAGCTGCTCACACCCGTGGAGTGAAGGGACATGCCCAAGAGATGTGGCAGCAGTGTCAGCATGGCGGTGCCCTCCAGAAAGTCGTCACAAAGATAAGGGAGCAGAAAACTGGGTAGAAGATCACAAAGGCCAGAAGTGCTTTTGTGGGGATGCTGAGAAAGCCAAAGCGAGCCAGAGAAAGCTAAATCTGTAGACTGTATATCTGCTTACAGGGAAAACACCGGAGCATTAAGACAAGCCATGAAATTAGTCACTGCCCTGAACAACTCAGAAGAAGGGAAGTGACGAGCTGCTGGAGGTTCCTTGGCTCTTGAGGGTCCTAATAACTAATCCTAATACAGATGGGGATGTTCTGTTGCACTCGTGAACAGAGAATTTCGTTCACCCCATATTCTAAATGCTGCTGTCTGTACAGTGGACACTCAAACTCCTTCTGGGATTTCCTTTTGACATTATCCTTCTGTAGTTGCTTTGTGCACTGTTGACAGACGCTATGAACCTGTGTTCTTCTTTTCTGTGCAGGAAGTAACTAAGCAGCTACAGCAGGTAAAATTTACCTAATTGAAAAACTGGGATGCTTTACTGCTTCTTTGTTAGAAAGTGCTGTGGGATTGCTCTAGAAAGGTGTGGTAGAAGTGCAAAGTAACTGGATACTTTGTTATTTTAAAGGCTGACCATATGCTGGTTCCTCCCGCTTTGAAATCTGTGTCAAAACTCAGTTTTCGGGGAGCTAGATTGCCTGACTCTGTAAACAAGATGCAGCCTGGAGGCAGGAGAGGCTTACAGGGAATGGCTTCTGCTGTTCTCCTTGAGCATAGAGCTGTTCAGACAGACTGGAGACCTGTCTCCTGCTCTCTCCCATTAAGGCTAAGAAATGAATGCTTTTAAAAGTTGTTAAATGAATGGGCTGGATCTTACAGTCCTTACTCATCTGAGTACCGCCATTAACTTTAAGAAAATAATCACTTTATTAAGTGCTATGGAGTGGAGTCCTTAAATTGTTGAATTCTAATATTTAACTAAGTTTTCCTTCAGTAGAAAAATAATATTGACATAATTAAAAGGATGTGAACATTTCATCAGCTGAAAAATGTGAGTTACTTTGGAATGAAATGTAGAATTAGAAGTAGTGCAGGGGGCATAAGTCCATGTGTCATGTCTGCGGGTTATTTTTGAACTTTATGAAAAACACACTTTAGCAGTTTGTATCTTGACCATTCAACTGTATTCTGGGATTCTGAATTCAAAAACATTCTAACCATGAAAACACAACATTTAAAAATATACTGTCCAGTTGGCTTCTTTGCCCTGCTTCAGCGTCTCCCAAGTTTGTTTCAGACAAACTGAGAACTTTGTTGTGGAATGACTGTTTGAATTTGGGTTTCTTAAAATATATGTGGAGCCTTGTAGCTGCTGTGGGGTGTGCATAGCGGTGTAGCTGTACTATTTTAAAATCATCTGGCTATTTCACTTCATGTAAGAATATCTGTCATCTTAGTTATAAGGAATGAGAGGGGTTGATTAAAACAACTCATGAAGCCATTAAACAAAGAGATAAAATGTAGAACATGTGCTGTAGGGTCGTTTTAATTATAACATATGAGGGATCCGTGGAAACCGTATGGCAGCTGCATTGAAGCTGAATTTTAAATGCGTTTTAGCAGTACTGAGGTACTGTTACTCAGAGGTGAATTTTTCTTATGTATAATGCTAATAAGTCCTTTGGAAATGGTGTTTGGAACCTACATTTTGTTGCTACAACTGATATAGTACAATTGTTATGCTCAGAAGCAAAGATAGATACAGATTAAAGGAGGCAATTAGATGTACTAATGGTCTAGACGCTAGATACTAGACCATGTAACATCACAGGAACATTTAAAAAGCTTTAGTAGAGAAGGAAACAAAGATGTCAAGTGAATACCCATGAGAACTCAGAGAGAATGGGGAAGTAAAAGGTAATGGCAAGTTATTTCATTGTCTTAGTGATCTTACTAGGTCATAAATACATGACCAAATATATTGCTATATGCTAGAAGTATTTCTACTAGGTTATTTTAGAATATAGTCTGACTTTCAGCAATAGATATCAGACAGCCACATGAATTCAGTAGAGGCTGAACATTTTAATTTATTCTTATTAATCCCAATTATAGAGATCAGGAGTTATCATAATTAATTTCTACCCCTATTGGAAAAGTTACTAAATCTCTGGTTTAAGAGTTCAAATCGGTCTCTAGTCACTACAGATCAGGATGATGGAAACTGATGAGAGAAGAAGACTATACATTTATCCACTGTGAAGTTCCTACAACTCCATCTGCCCCTTCCAGAGACCGGATCCTCAGCTGGTTGGACATTGGGTCTAGTTCAGTTTGGCAGCTCCTCTGTTTCCAGTTCAAGAAAATGACTTAAATATACGCAATGCTATTTATGCAACTGAAACGTGATGATTTGGCTAACCTTTTGTCATTGAATAAAATGGGCTCTCATTTCAGGAATATCACCATTTCCTATCACCCCTTCAAAATATCCACTCATTAAACTGTAATGAAGATTTGTTACCAAAACTGGTTGGAAAGAGTCAGAAGATGAAATTTTAAGAATATAGCCATAAACTGTGAATTTAACATTCTGACTGTAGTTGACACAGCAGTTAAAGTCTTGCTCTGTGGCTCGTAAGGACGGCTAAAGCTCCCCATGGAGAAATGACATTTGCTTCTGGTGGCAAACTTTGTCTTTATTACCGTGTGAATTCTCAGGAAATTATATGAATGCTGTAACTTTTACTTTCCAATCTGCATAAAACAGAGACGAAACATCCAGGACCAATTATATAGAACTGGGAAATAATTCCTTAAAAAGAGAATGGAGATCATGAAGGAGTTACAGCTTGTTGCTCCTGGCTGTAGCTTTTTGGCACATGAAGGTTCTGGGGATCGTTCCCTTGAGGATTTCAGAGGTTGTGCGTTATTTTAAAGAGACTGGAAGGAGGCAGTTGAGATAGATATCCATTTCCATACTGGCTTGTGGGGCACTTTACCGGATGGCCAGGGCAACGGTTACGCCAGTCTGGCTCCTCAGCATCCCCAGTGAAAGAAAACGTACAGAGGCAATCTAGCTATCGCTAAGATGAGGAAACTCATTTCTGCTGAAACAGCGTAAGGAAAAATGTGATTGCCTCTGCTATTAGAAAAGGACCTTTCTGTAGCAGAGAAATCAGTCATTGATCCAACAAGATACTGCTCTTCAGCAGTGCTCTCAAGGCAGTCCGCCTTGAGGAGCACTTTGGAGGATCTCTCGCAGACTCATCCCAAACTGTTTGAGAGTTAGAAGCGAGAGGGAGCAATCAGGAAGAGCTCTCCCTGGGAAGAAAGCTTGGGGCAGGAGCCTCTCTGTCACATTGGTGTCCAGTTACTTCAAGTTCTTCTGGAAAGGAAAGGAAGCACTTTCCCATAGCTGCTATGGAAAGAGTATCTCAGTGTTTTAGCATCATGGTAACACTCATCCTGCGGTTCATATTTTCTCCAGCCCCGATGACGCTGCACATTTTAGTCTCAAATTAACTCTTTGCACGTGTCTGTTTGGCTTTCATAAAGTTACTGTTGCGCAAGGAATGTGAACAGACGTCTTGCACTGATTTCTAAAATATTAAAATGCTAATTACAACACATTTCCTTAAGGAGGAGAATTCAAGGTGACTCACCATGTGACCTCTCTCTTCTTCTCTACCCTCTAGTCCTCTGTGATGTCCGTCTGTTTTGCCCGCTTTCACCCAAACCTGGTTGTTGGTGGGACATACTCTGGCCAGATTGTCCTGTGGGATAATCGCAGTCACAGGCGGACTCCAGTTCAGCGAACGCCCTTATCTGCAGCTGCTCACACGGTAAGGATAAAAGTCACCTTATCCTTTCTTGGGAGGAAATGGTCAGCAGGGAAGTGGAGCTGTCTGCTGTGCCTCCAATGCCAGTTCTCACATACCTGCCAATGTAAGTGTGGTCCTTGAGGGAGAAGAAGTAGATAAAGGAGATGTACAACCAGCTATGATAAGTGTTTGACCGTCACACTTGGTATGGTACCTCAGATGAGGACAAAATCATCCTCTTGAAGAGGACAGGAGCAGTTACAAAACTTAGCACCTATGTACCACCTCAGTGGCACTGTGCTTCTTCCTCTCTGCTGCCTGTATAAGGGAGCCAGGTCACTGTATAGGGACCATATGTCTGGCACTCCTGTGTGGCGGGCAATTTGAATCACTTACTGTTGTCTTACAGTACAGTACAACAGAGTGTGTCTTTTGAAGCACATTAGGCACCTAGAGTGATCAAAATGGAATCCCTTAAGTAAACACTGTTGCCCTTGAAGGGAGTGGGGCAGTTTGCTTCTGTTTTCTAATAGAGGAACAAATAAATCACTGTTAACGATCTTTCCCATTCTGGGCTGGGCCACAGGGCAGAGCTAGCACAGCGAGGAGGGGTTTGTTTCCACAGAATCATGTGGGAGCACGTTTTGCCCCCACACAAAGACATTTGCAGATACAGTGATGGTGGCATAAGTCTGTGGTGATATCTGGGGATATCTAGGCAGAGCAGTAGCACAAAATGCCTGAGAAGCAAGGGAGTTCCTCAGTGATACAAAGATCATGTCTGTGCTAGAAGATGTTCTTACATTGCAAAGTACCCATATTGTGCAGGAGTTGAAGACAAGTCTGGATTACCTGCTATTGTATCCTCAACCTGCTATAGTACTGACCTCCAACCCATCCTTCACTAAGATGCTGAACATCCTTGAGCTCTCCTCTTCCAGAGTTTGGGCTCAGGCAGCCTCTTCATGTGAGCTGGCAGGTTTATTCTGTGGATGGTGAGCTTATCTGATCTTGGGACCATCCTAACTTGTTCTTGGAGATGTACGCAGAAGTCCTGCTTGGAATACTGGAGTGGGAAGTGGAAAAGAAAATATAGGCTGAAAGGAGGAGGAAAATGTAATGATGTGATATAAGAATGCAGAAAATTGTAGAATATTTCCTGAAACATAAGAAATGGAGCTACACAAAGCGCTCTGAGAGATAAGAAAATAATCTTGTTCTAGCAGAGAGAAGGATTAGACAAAGTAATAGGTCTTTTGCACCTCCAGCTTTTACAATTCTGTGATTCTTATCTTTGGAATTTGCAGATCAAGGTTCAGCTTTTAGTTGACTGTGACAGCATAATCCCTGGAGTTAAGAGACAACGTCTAAAAGCCGTGTCACATGAATTAATGCAAAAGATTCGGTGTGGGGCCAGGGTTATGATGGCATGCCTCTTATATTAAAAAATGACAGGTGTGCACAGACACACTTAGTGGGCCAGGCAGTACAAATATTGTTCCCTAAATTTCCACTATCATGCATGTTGATATAATAATCTAATGATGTGTGCCATGGGTGGCAACTTCAGCGTTGCTTTTCATTTCCCTAATGTTTTTGCTCGTTTTGTTGCCAGTATCTGAGCTAATGTTGTTCAGTCTGCATGAAAGGAAACAGTCTCTCCTGGAAGTGCAATTTAGAGATGTAGTAGACCAGAAAACTAGTGGCAAGAAACTGACTGTCATTGAAAATTGAACGACTGGGACCCAAAATCTAGTGGATAAGAAAAGATTAATGGGCAGAAACTTGTTTACACTCCAAAAAATGTTTAAGACAAAACTGGACCTCCTGGAATTATTTATTAAACTAGTTTTATTATCGCAGTAGAAAAATATGTGATGTTTTGCTTTTGACAGATATAAATAAATGACTATGTACATTGTGTGCTGTCATGGGTTGGTTTAAATAAGTATTTACTTACCCTAACAGTATGATGAAGAAGTATGATGTTTTTAAGGAGTGATCACTTTTTGCAATAAAAGAATGTTTGCTTTCTGTTCACATATAGGAATCACATAAACTTTAAATGAAGTGTTGGTTGCAAAAGGCTGACTTAAACCCTAGCTGCCAAGAAAAAAAAGATTAAGACAACTCTAGTGAGGCAGTTACTACTTTGTGTACTGCTAGACAAACGGGCTGAATAGTGATTTTTTAATTTGAACCTATGCCATATGTGAAAAAAACATTTTTCTCTTTTCCTTCTGTCATTTTAGTTATCTGAAACACATAGAGTGTGTTGTTATCACTGATTTAAACAGGCCTTAAGTTTAGTCTCACTGATTGCCGCCTGGATTCACCAGGAAAGAGAATTCTACCCGCAGCTTACTCACTAATTTCCTTTCACACCCACCACACATCTGCACTTGGGACAACAGGAAATTTTAATTAAGACAAAACCCTTTTGCATGATGATTTCATTTCCAAAACAAATAAAAGCAAGCTGGCAGCGACCCTTTGAAAGGAAGGGGCCTGTTTAGACTTTCTGCTGCATACAGTTGGTTGACTTTTTCATCCATTTGCCTTATGTCTTTTCATTTCTGCCATGAGTTTTATTGTGCGTAAAATTGATGGCTGGCAACCCTGATTAAAGCCAGACCTGGCACAGGGAGGTGCTGCTGGAATGACATGGCTCTCTCCTCCCTTCCCCCTAAATATCCTAGCTACTCCACTGCTTGCTTTAGCTTCCTCCCATTCTCTCTATCCTGGTCAGTTTGGCCTACTGGAGGACAAACACCCATTAAAAATTAGGACTGTATTTGTTTCACACATCACTTTGAGCTAATCATATTTAACACCTGTGGTAATTAGCTCACCACAAGGGAGCAAGGAGAGGTCCGTCCTAGCACTAATACCGTGAGCCACATCTGGGACACAGATTTGGATCCAGCGTATTGTCTGACATCCGTTTGATGATCCAGGGGATATCAGGTGCTTGACAATCTTGAGAAATCAGCATCAGAATAGACCTTGTGACTTAATACTCTGATGCATGCAGGTGGTCTCCAAGTGCAAGGTAATTTTTTAGCAGCAATTAGTCCTTCTTTGGTGTGTGCTCCCTCTGCATTTAGTTGCTGCATGTTTCCCGTTTAGAGATGGAGGCATTTGCTGGGTCCACTTAGGTATCTACCCAGAGAGCTAACCAGTGCCCTGAAGCTCTGCCTTTCACTATTGACTAGATAGGCAATGTGAAGTAGGATCTTTGGGCAGTCTAAAATAAGTGGTAGCTCTGCCATTTCCTGCGTTTTGTTGGGATCAAATGCTAGGTGTCTAACCCTACATGCGGTTGGCCTAGAAGCTGTACAGGGATCTCTTGTAAATTTGATCCTAATTTTCTTTAAAATGTTAGTGATAAGCGTTTTTTCTTCCTGGAGTCACAAGTCTTCTATTCCTCTGCAGAAGAGGCAGAGACTTACAATTTTGTTTTGGCTGCCTTGTCTGTACATCTTATCCTTCATTCAGGGGGATCACTTGTAACAGTCAAAGGAAGTTAAATCTCATTGTTCAGTCTGACTGATTTTTCTCTCACGACATTGCTGATCTTGAAGCAGCATCTCTTCCCTTCTACGTCATCATCAGATGTCAGTTGACACTTTAGTCTTAAAATATTACCAGGTCCTTGAAAAATGAAAAGATCAAGTTTCATTATTGTATACCAAAAGGAATTCAGCCTTCATGGACCAATGCTACCTGCTATTGTGAAACTGAGGTAACACCATGAGCAAATTTAGTCCACGTTTATAGAAACAGATCTAAAAAAGTATTTGGGTCAGTGGAGAAGGCTGGGGGACTTGTTCACATTTTTCTGTTGGAGTACATTTGCAAGTATTTGGCGTGAAAGCCAGATTCTGGCAAAGTTCAAGTTTTACACAGCTGTTTTCTTGAATAAAGTTTTCATTTTGATTCCATTTGGACAATTTATTTCTTTCTGCCAATTATTTTCAGTGTCAGAATCCATCAACAGAATGATACATGTCCCTGTGGGTGAAATCTCATCCACGTAATTCAGCATTTTCACAGCATTACTCAGCTGAGTTGTTTTATGATGAGAAAAATGAAACTTTGAAAACATTTCAACCTCCGTAACACGCTTTTTAAACTTTAAATAAAAAAACAAATTTAATTCCTATCTGGCAAAAGCTGAGTCCTGTATTTTCCTGGCATTATGTGACTATTTAATCATTCTTTAAAATAACGTATGAGACATTAGAAATTTGTTTTTGAAGATATGCGAATGGGTCTCTGATTTCCAATGTTAATGTGTTTTCAGCATCCTGTGTATTGTGTCAACGTAGTTGGAACACAGAACGCGCACAATCTCATTACAGTCTCTACGGATGGCAAAATGTGCTCCTGGAGCCTGGATATGCTCTCAACTCCACAGGTGGGTTTGTTTTCACCTATAGAGGAAAAAAACACCTTGGTTAAAGCTGGATACCTGCTTAATGGAACATAGTTCCTAAAAGCCAAAACCTCACATCCTATACAAACTAAAACCAATGGATGCGCTTGAAAGAGTACAGCTTGCTTCCAGCAGTCTCTGCTAAGAGCCAAGACCCATTTCCTTTACCACAAATCATGTAATTATTGTAATACGTTAATACATAGGTCAATTTCAAGTGAAAATGAAATAATCCATTTTAAAGCACAGTAATTACACAAGTCGCCTGTGGTATAAATTGTACTTACTCTACAGCATTGTTTAACAAATATGGACTAGATTGCACTGCTGCTGAACACACCCTAGGCACTATGGGTTTCCAAGGCACAAAGGCAGAAAGCTTACTTTGTTGCCTGCCTTCAGTAGCTGAAGGAACGAACAATGCAAATCAAAAGTTTTAGAATATTTCCCTCCCTGTGGAATGTTTGTTACTATTGTCTTTTTTCCCACTCTTCTCCTTTGTATTAGAAATGAAAGGAAATCCAGGAAAAGTGTCCAAACCACTAATGATTATAATAATGGAAACTAAATAAAGAATCTGATGCTGAAAGGGATCTATGGAAAGTGCCTTTTTAAGTGTTATCTTTTGGAGTAGTATGTTTTCTATTCCAATGCATCGCTCATTTTTCATTCGTCATTTCTTACAATGCAGCTATGTTTTATTATCATGTTCATTAAACATTGTAAGATCTGATCTTGTTTCAAAATGGGGTTAGTAGAAACTCATCTTAATCCTACTAATTCTTAATAGATTTAATTCTTAATTCTATTAACCATCCATTAGCCATGCATTAATGTGCAATTACTATCAAGTTATTTGTTTTTCAATGTTGGCATGAGAGGTGGAACTCTAACCTTTGCCATCTAAAAGTTAGGTCTGTGTCAAGTCTAAGTTAGTCATTAGAGTTCTCTTTATAGTTACTCTGGAGAGAGACTGGGCACTTCTCAAGGACAATTCATCCCATCCAAATGTGAAATACAATTTCAGATACCATGGGATATAGAATTGTCAAGTCAAAATGGAAGGGACCTCCAGAAATCATCCAAACTAAGCCCTGCTCAGAGTGAGGTCAACTTCAAAGTTAGATCGTGTTGTTCTTGCTCACCTGAAACAACAGCATGAGTCTGGTAGTTGTGTCATGGGAGTATGGGAAATCAGTATTCTTCTGGAATAGAAGTGGAGGCATCTAAAATGTCCCAGGCATCTGTGTTTAGGCACCTGAATTCCTTCCCCAGTTTCTCACCTAAATACAGATTAGATAAATGCCACCCTTACATATATGCTTACTGGAATACTACATTTTGAAGCAGAGATTTGTGAACATCTCAGTTCCAGGACTTTACCACTCAGATGGAATTTCCCAGCTCCAAAACTGGCTTTCAACAAATGAACACATCCTGCATTACACTGAAGAGTCAGTGCATGGCTGGTGACACTCTTGCAAAGAAAGGCATAGGATTTGAAGTCAAGCTGCATGCCATAGCTTTGAATTGAGAGGAGTAGCGTTGCTGGTTTGTGTCAGTCTGAAACTTTCCATAGACACAGTGCTCATGTATGGCCACAGCGTAGGCACCAGGAGGAGAGCGTCCACGGCAATATCTGGCTGTGCTTCCACAGAGACACTCAACGATGATCTCATCCCAGAACATTTTCACAGAAATATATGGTCCACAGGTGCTCTGCCAATGCATTTTCCAGGCCTTCTTTTGCCTTTTTAATAGAGCTAAGTGTATTTCAAAGAAAAGTATAAATCAAGCAAGAGTATTTCCCTATGGATTTGCAGCCTTCTCCTCCCCTAGGGCCTCCCACTTTCTTTAGCTACAGCAAAAAAAGCCTTCTGAAAGTCAGTGCTGTAGGCTTTGGCCCTAGAAAACTAGCGGTTTAGGTATTTTAAACATACAAAACATACCCACTTAAATAGCTAGAAAGGAAAATTGCTAAATCGTTCAGCCCCTTTGTGGATTCTTGGGTTATACCATTTAAGCTGCACAATCAAAAAGTTTAGAGATGGGGAAGATCTGCTCAAAGCATAAGCATCATGTAACAGTCACAAACTGTTCATGCTGGTTGTACTTGCAATAGCAAAAATGGGCTTGCTGATTTGCTTTGAAATATATCTACAGCATAAAAAAGAAAATATGTTTGCTGTCTTGTAGCTAGATAGCGGAGTCCAGAGAGAATGTTTAGGGCTTCAGAAATACCCTGAAAAACAGTGCTTAGAGTGACAGTAGTGACACTACTACTAAGTTTGCAGAGGGGCAAATGGCACTGTTAGAAAAATGCTTCAGGTGCATATGATATTACATGTGTTTCCTGGCAAACAATTGACTTCAAAAATGTTTGTAAATAGATGGGTATTGTGTATTTTATTAGAGCCTTCGGCTGGCAAGTGTAGCCATTAAGGTATTATCTTTAGTTTCTGCACCATTAGTTTTTAAATTCTCACCTGTCATCTCTGCCTGATTTGAGATTACGTAGCACAGACCAGTGCATTCCAGCCGCTCTGAAACGTGTGACAGACAGCGGCAGGGGTGGCAGGAGCTGTGCATCCTCATTTGTGACATGGCGTCTTCTTGCACTATCCCATATAAAAACTAAAATCCTGTGACTGGGTCAAATGATTTCTTCTTCCTCCCCTAACTGCTACCCTGTATAACATTTAGAAATAAATTAGTAAAAAAAGAACACGACAAAAGAACAACCGCAGAATAATAACTAAGACCTGTTTTGGTAGGAGAGCATGGAGCTGGTGTACAATAAGTCCAAACCAGTGGCGGTTACAGGAATGGCTTTCCCAACTGGAGATGTCAATAACTTTGTTGTTGGCAGTGAAGAGGGGACAGTCTACACAGCTTGTCGTCATGGCAGGTGATGTTCAGTATTTTGTCCTTAAATAACATTGTGTATCTGTGTTGGTGTGAGGTAGCCAAGTGTGTGTGGAGAGTGTTTAATTCTTTTCTCTTGCACCAACAGTATCCGTGCTGTTCTGTTTCACATGGCAAGGATGAGAGTTGCCTAACTTTGGGCATTTGTGTTATAGCCATTTACACTGGGCTAGTTGCCCTAGGCTCTCTGTGTAGTCAGTGGGGAGCAATAACTGCTTTTAGGGTTTGATTTCTCTAACTTTTTTTGGATGTCTACTTGAAGATGAGATGACTGGCACCTGAGAAATGCCTCTTTCTCACGAGTGATTATAACGGAAGTCTAGACAGCTAGCTCAGATGCAGATGTCTATGTCTGGGCGGGCTGAAGCAGGTCATAGGAGACGGTGGTGTTGTAGGGTGATCAGGCCTAAACCACTTGTAAGAGATGGTAATCCACTTTCTTATTTTTTACCATCCTCAGCTTCATCTTCAGTCTCCACAGGCATATAGTAGAGAAAAGCAGCCATGGGCACGTCTACTTGTGAGAAACAGAGCACGTGAGTCCAGTCAAAAGGCCATCCTCATGCAGTTACATACTTTGGACTTGACTAGCATTTCCACCCAGTACTATGGGCTACTATGGGCTACTGTGGGCTATACAGCTACACTAGCAGGCTAACAGTGCTGGGATCCTTTCTCAGTGGGCGGTTTGGATCTGTCCCCCCTCTTTTGGAGGGCAAGAGGATTTTGTTGTACAGAAAAAAACATATCATACCGTTTGGCCTCAAGGCCTGAGTCTGGGCTGCCTCCTGTTTTATTTACTAATGCAGACATAGCCGCATTGTGCCAAGAGGGTGTGTTGGCTTGGGTTGACCCTCTCCCAGGACTGTGCCCTGTATTCTCTTGCACAGTATAGTCACTTCCCTTCCTTGCTGATTTGTATGCCCAGACTGTAGTTTAATACTACAAAAAAGGTCAAAATTTTGCCCTTGCCCCTCAAAACCTCTCCCTGATGGAGACAAGCCAGGCAAAAACTGAGATATTCTGTCTGCAGAGGCCACCGCCGAAGCCAGCAGTGAGGATGGAGCAAAGACTATCACCCTAAATTTTCCTGTGCATGCCTCGCACTTCAGGTGTGCTGCTGACTGTAACATGTTGGGGTCTGGCTACAGTCCTGCCCAACTGAATGGCTCTTCCTCAGGCCCTTAAATTTGAATGCACTTTTATCTTTTTTTTTCTTTCTCTTTCTCATTAGGCTGCTAGGATCATTTTTCTCAGGGTATCTCTGCAACTCAGATCCAAGTTTTGTCCCAGTGTTGTTCAGCCAGAGTCAGCTCTGCAATATTGTGCCCTTCTGCCCTAGATTTCCGCAGATGCTGTGTCTGAGTAGTTTGGACAGGCCTTTAAATGTAAGACTTGATAAAGTGACCTGGGAAAAGTTTATTCTATTAAAGTAATTTCTAATACCATTTGGAATGATAGCCAAATTACTGTTTTTCCCAAGTATAAAATACGTATCTTAATGAGTAGGGTCTGAGTGCTGTATTCCAGCACTGATCTTCCTTCTGCTTCGAAGGTGAGGAAGGTGCAAATCCACTTCCATAATTTAAACCAGTTCTTTATTTTGCACCCTGTAAACTCTTTCAGGATTCAGTTAGGAGAAAGGGGACTCTCACCACAGGCCACTTTGAAGATTAGTTCCTCCTGTTCATTAAAATGAGCTACAGTATGCTTGTGTGCTCTATGAGCTTCTGTTAGTAGTTTCATCCTCCAGGAAGCTCAACTGCCTTTGGTAAAGAACAGGCTCTTTCACTTTCTGTTGGTAGATTTAAAGTTCACCCCTACACTTCACTAGTTTTCAATATTCTCTGAATGCATGTTTTATTATATTTCTTGTTTGTAATGAACAAGTAGACATTGCTATACTGGTTTAAGATTGTAAGGCTTCTGTTACACATTCCTAATACTGTGCAAGAACAGGTTTACCTATATTTTTTGAATAATTTTTATTTAAAATATTTTTTTTAGATTGATTGCTGGCATCATTTCAATATTGTGTCTGTTTAGGCATTATACTGATAGCCTGTATGGTGACTGATGGTTTGAATTAGTCTTAGGCTCCTGGGGTAAGTGAAACATGCCCAGGGGCTTTTCTCACATCTAATCTTTCAAACATGCCTGGTTTGTCCCTCGCAAGAGGAGGAGGGTGTCAGATCCTCTTGTTCTCCCACCTTTTTAGCAAGCCCTCTCCTTGAGGAATACACTGCTTTCCTGCTCCTACCTTTCTCCTCCAGAGCTTTTTGATATCATCCCATTTTGCATTGAGAGGCGCCTCTGTTCTTCAGCACAGCATGGTGGAAAGCCAGATGTTATTCCGGGAAAAGCTGTGTCACAACATAACAGATCCACAAGGTGTTCCTCCTCATGTGCTGGAACTCCACGTACCTTGCTGACTGCATGGCAAAAAGATGAGGATGAAGGAAGAGGTGTGTTTTGTACCAAGAGCTGCTGACCAAAATGCACAAAACGTGGCAGCAGAAGTGCTGCTGAATTCAGGCCCTGGTCCAGCCGCTGCAGCAGAGCTCGAGAGGAGGACACACGGCTAGGGCTGATAGGGAGTGGCAGAAGGCCACCCTGCCACGGTCAGCAGGAGATATGAGCGGACAGCATGCTCTCAGTATTGCTGTGTGGTGTAAGGGACCAGTTTCCTACTGCGCAGTTCCTTACCTCTTTGGGTACTTTGTCTTCACTGTGGCACCAGGCTGGCAGCCTGGTCACAGCTGTGGCTATTTTGAATGCATTTCTTTCCTCTGGTGATTTTTATATAGTCATGTAACTGAAAGGGTAATTTCATCATTCCCCTTTCTGTATACAGTGTGGGGCAGCACCGGTAAGTGATTTGACAACATTTGCTTATAGGAGGAACAAAACTCTGCATGCAGTCTCTTTTACACAGAGTTGCATTTTCCCTTCCTAATACCTATTCTAGCTTTATGCTGATGAAATACACTTCTTCTCACGTTCAAATTAATGACTGTATGATACCCGATCATGTGACTAGTTCCTTCACGTTTGGTGAAAACGGTTTTGTTTCCTGGTATCTTGGCTGACTGCTATGGAAAGTTATTTTAGATATTTGAGAGGAAAAGAAGTTGTTAATGATAAGTCATTAACATATTCACTTTTTTATTTTAATGGCGGTTCCTTGTGATAAGGTCTTACTCAGATCTATAAGCTATAATATAATTATAATTTATAATTATTTTATAATTATTCATAAGTGTTATTTCAAGCCATAGAAGTAGACATCCTTACGTAAGAGCCAGTAATGCACGTCTTCAGAAGTAAGAGAATGTCTCTGCGTGTTGAATCCTGAATATTAATTGCACACAGCAGAAAGCCTTTGCAGTCAAAGACCTTAGTGAAGAAGAGAGCATTACAGATTAAATGGAACTTTAAAAGGAAACAGGACTCTAAGAGTAAAGAAAGAAGTTTGGTGTTAAATCGCAGTCTCTGAATGCAAATATCTGTTTCTTCCTGCAGTAAAGCTGGCATTGGTGAAATTTTTGAAGGCCACCAAGGACCTGTCACAGGAATCAATTGTCACATGGCAGTGGGTCCAATTGACTTTTCTCATCTCTTTGTCACATCATCATTTGACTGGACAGTCAAGTTGTGGACCACAAAGGTGAGAAATCTAAGCTGGGATGGGATAGACCCATCTTAGTACCTTTTAGACCATGACCCTGAGACCAGGCTGTTCCTGGCAAACTCCTGATGCCCTGTGGGGAGAAAAAAAGAAAAAAGGCTGAGATCATATGACAAAGCCCTTTGAACAGACTTACATCTTCTTGAACACAGGAAACTGTATCTTGTTATACACAGGGCAATCTTCTCTGGGCACATGAGTGTCTTTCCAGGACAAGAGGTTCGTTTGCACACAGTTAAATCAAGGCCACAAACCTTTGCTGTAAGATTCTGTCCTACAACAAGTCAGTTCATTTAGCCATGGCCTTATATCACTTCTCATTTTAGAAAAATTACCTACATGTGAAAATGCTGTTGTCAGAAATATTTCAAGGTTTAAACTGTCGTTGTCTGCATCAGTTCCCATAAACTGATTCATTGAAAGGCTGTGCTTAGAATAGGTTTATTGATAAAATTATAAGTTAAGTGTATACCTAGGGTAGCTGTGTCACCCATATTCATGCTGGAGTGTATCCTATAAAGGTAGCCTGCATTTCGGTATTGACCCTAATGATGAGGCATTTCACTAGGGAGGAGATAGGGTGTCTCATCCTGCCATTCATCAAGCAATCTATCCAGCACTCCTTGTGCAGGATGAATTTCAAGACTAATTCTGTGCACCATGATAGTGCAGCAGCAGGAACCCTTCCTTCTGATGAAGGAACAAAAGAAGCTCATGTGGAGCTTAATGCAGACAATCTCAACTGTGGAATTCATTGCTGCAAGGAGGCTATGATAGCCAGAAGTATAAATAGTCCCAATGGCATTCATTAGCGACTGATGGCTGGAACAAGGAAATACATACTGGGACTTCACATGCTCTTCCCTGAGCATCCCCAAAGATCCCCATGAATCTGTTGTTAACTACTCTATGGATGCGTCCATGTGACCTCTTACAGGGAGAGCACTGTGAGCAATGGAAATGAATATACCATCCTATGAAACACTGAAAACACAACGCCCGGTAGAACCATTTGAATATAGGATAATAACAGGGTGAATGAAAAATGTGGGACAGATTAAACAGACCAACCTGTTTCATTGTGCAAGCTGAGTAAAACAAGAGAGTGAGGGGTAAAAAGAAAATTAGGTTAATATTCTAATTGTCTAAGTCATCTAAACAGTTATTTTTGTCATACACTGGAGTAGAGATCTGCCTTTTAAATGCCAGGCCTTTGTCTTGATTGTGTCCGTGTTTGGTTCCCATCCTAAGCTGCATCTAACAGAGTCCTGACCCCTGTCAGGAAATATCTCAGTGTGAGTTCCTCAGAGACACCAGGGCTCGGAGATGCTGGGACAGATGCACCATGAATACAGAAGTGTTCCCAAGGGCCTGTGTGACAGCCTTGTGCTGTAAACAGAAGCACAGTTACCTAGATAATAACTTGAATCAACCAACTTGAATCAACCTCCATAGTGGCTTCGTAATATATTTGTTAATGGCCTGATCCAATGCGTGTGCTAACTCAAAGCCATCTTTTCCTGAACTTCAGTGACCACAGCTGTCAGTTTTGTCTTCAGTGTTAAATTTTAGCAAACTTGTTAGGAAGTAATTTGCATGATTTACATAATTTGCATATAACCATATGCATCAGCAATAGTCAGTGGAGCAAAACTTAACCAGTGCACAAATGGAACTGGATAGTGGTTGTAGGCAGGCTGGAATGGGTCTTCAATGGTAAATGTTAGAAAAGGCGTCAGGGTAACCAAGTGATAGAGCTAGTTGGGGCTGTCTAGACTATTTGGTGTCTGAGATAAGGGAGTACTGGACAGTGATAACTGGTGGCAAGGGAATATTGGATAGTGGAAGTTGAAGCTGTATAAAGAGGAAAAGAAGTAGTGGGGACTGGGTGAAAGATGGAAAGTAGGTACTGGCGTATGTACAGTCCAAATAGGGACATTCAGAAAAGTCCAGGGCAAGTATTAGACCTTCACCTTGGGGCTGAGTCTGTCCATAAAGGTCTGATCCATCTGCAGTTTAAGTGAAATTATATTAAGGAATAATAAGGCCTCATTTTTATTTTAAACTCTTGGGATTTTAGAAGGTTGCCAAAACACTATCACAGCATATTATGGGCACAAAGACACTGCAGTTAGCATTCTGCACACTGCTATCCTTGTATAACAGTTCAGGCCCCAAATGGTTTGGTCAGATGCTGTTGAATCCTGTCAGTTTTCAAAGAACTAAACCCATTTAAATTTCTGAAATCCATCAGGCTGTGGCTTGTCTGGCCAGAGGGGCTTCCTGAGAAAGCTGTGTGAACTAGCACTGATGTGAGCTGGAGCGTGCATGTGGCACCCCACAGCAGCTCTCCAAGCTGGCAGCAGTGCTGCTGTACTAGATGCATCGCTTGCTTCTAGAACAGGATTGCTCCAGGCTCCTGCACTGCTAGTCACTGCCCTATGAAGATGAGGACATACTCTTACACGCTAGACAACATGTTGAAATGCGATGAATGCTTTATCTTCCCATTTGAGTCCTACAGCTGTTTCTTTCCATACTGTCTAGCTAATACTCCTGGCTGCACTGAGTACATATTTCGGGCTGTCGTATTCAGGGCTTGGTCTGTCAATGGGCTTTGAAGAAGCCTATCAGCATGTTTGATCGCCTGAAAAAATAGTGGATTAGTCTGAAGTATTGAGAGCTACTGCTGGTTTATGAGAGTTTACTGAAAATTGTTTTATTTCTTTGGTTTCTTATTTGTAAACTTAATCTCTCTATCCACATCCAAAGCTGTATTGCTTTCCTGCTTCTACTAGCATTGTCTATTTAATCCTGTGCACATTATCCTCTTTGGTCATGAAATTCAATTCCTTTCTGTTTCACGGATTCAGAGTCAATGTCCAATTGTAAAGTGAACCATAAAAGCTCTGTATTTATATTGTCTATTGATGTTGTGTAGCACCCTGGGGTGCTTACGAGAAGGGAACTTTCATAGCAGGCGTTTGACTGATGGATTGAAAGCACTGTCTCCTTTAAAAACTCTGGCTTGACATTTTATAATCTGTTCTTGTGGTTAACACGTTTTCCATCTAAAGGCAGTTCAACCAGGTGACTGAGAACAAGATTTTTCACTAACAGAAGAATAAAGGTTTTGCAGATAACACTAATAAAAGGTTCACATTATCACTCATCATATTAGCCAATAATTAGATCCTTGGGTGTATAGTAAGCAGCCAGAACAAGTAGGAAAGGAAAAATAATTTGCGAGAATAGTCATTTGATATCCAGAGCATTACCTGGGTTCTGATGAAGTCAACAGGACTTTCCCCTTGAATTCATGCTATACCATATGAGCAAGTCTTGGATGCAGAGCTGTCAAAGGAAAGTCCTGATGCAAAGTATCTGTGGAGCTCAGCCCTTAATTAGGTATTGTCTGTACAATGCTTTGAAGAGGTAAAGTGCTAAGTGGAAATGCTAAGTGTTGTTAATTAATTAAGCGCTAATCCTCATGAGGGAGTAGCATGAGGTTAAATAATGAAATGTAAGTATTGTTATTATTACAGCAATTGCTGTGTGGAGTGGAAATTTTTAGATACGGTGTCAAGGGACAGCAGTTAACCTGATATTGTTAAAGTGTAGCAGGACATAAGCTAGTTTCAGTCAAAGCTCAGAGAACTGTTTTGTTTGCTGCTGAGGAAGTTGAGAAAGGTCTGGATAGAGAGCTGGATTTTGTTAGTTCGTTCATCCCTCCCATGTCTCCTTTATCTCTTACCCTTCAGCTGAGGGGAACTGCTAACGACTGACTTTGTTTTTCTCCTCTTGGGTCTATGCCTAAGCCATGCTCAGATGTGCAGCTAAGGAGAAGAGAGATTGGAATAATAGTGCAATAACATCATTGCTGTAGTCCCCTATCTGTTCTTATCTCCATCTTTGCCTAATGTTGAAGTAATGGTGGTGAGTGCTATAATCAGAGGGAGGGATGGAGATGGGCAGACTGGTAGTGGGACCACCTTGTAACCATTAGCAAGGACTAATCAAGCCAGAGGGCATGTGTGCCTTCAGGGACTGACCCCTCCTTTTGTTTCCCTGCTCATTCTTGCCTTGCTAGTATATGCGTTAACGGTAACTGCTTCTTCTCAGTCTCTCTCCTTTTGCTTTTTCTTTCTAATGCTCTTCACGTCTTGCTCTTCTCTTTTGGTGTCCTGTCTTGTTCCAGTCTGCAGTCTGTTGTGCTTATTGATAAACCACATTTTAAACAGCAAACCTGACATTTCTGGGCTAGGTACCTTCATATCCATGTCTGTACCTTCAGTTTCTTTTGCCCATCTGTTGGTTGATTACCTTGGTATGACCTAATCCTCCTGACTCTCTGAATAAATGATTTTACCTTGCACTTTCGTACCTTCCTACCGGCATATAACTTTGGTCTCCACTGGCTTTAATTTGGTCTAGAGATGAGCATTATCCTCAGAGGTCAAGTTGGTGCCTATCACTAGAGCAATGTGATGGTGCTGTTGCCAAAGATAGGTACCTCCCCCTCCCCAAAGCCTGGCTGATGGGATTTAATATGATCAACTTGTTGGAACAAACTTACTGTGATGGAAATTGGTGTAGCAAAATGAATCAGAGCATTATATGATTGCGTGGATTAATCACCAAAAAAGCAATGCACTCATAAAATGGCAATGTTTAAAGTTTACTAAAATAACAAGGTGAGGTTGCCACTTTTTTTTACATTAACAAGTTGTTATTTTTTTAGATTACAAATAACATGTGTGAAGATACCTGGTTACTGGCTCTGATTTGTTCTAGTATAATTTTAGTCAAAATTAAGTGAGTGAGCGACAACCTCTTGTGTTACAGGTAGCGTTGCCTGAAGTTAAAGACCTAAGTAAAGATACTGTCAAATACTATCCATGATAAAAGGATAGTGAACTTAGCAGAACCACTGTGACAGCCTGGTGAATTCTCTCTCATAAAAGTGTTTTAACACTAGT